GTGTTGATTCTTTAATTTCTGCACTCAGTATTTTATGGTTTTGGTTTAATATTGTGTGTGTCCTGGCCTTACATTTATAGTAGATAGTAGTTTCTGTGGGATGATATTCAAACTTAATAAATTCACTTTATTATTTGTCACGATCGGTGCACCTGCAAAATTGCACAAATACAATTAAAATTTATTTTTTAATTTATCTAGGTTTTAGAATTTACGGTTGCAATCTATTTCTTGTTGGAAGAATGCCCATGGGACAACTGGTTGCAGCTCTTAAAGATAACAGTGAATGCCCGAAATTGTGGCCATTCGAAAACTTATTGATTTCTCCGGATTTCTCCACGACAACCTCCATTCTGATTGTGCAGCAGTACTGGAGCCAGCCATCTGGGGATTCGCTGAATTCCCTCAAGGAAGAAGAGTCGACAGTCCCGATCCATGGTCATTACTACTCTTCCTTCACTGTGTAATTGTGAAGCTAGAAGTTAGTGAAGTAACGCAATGTAAATATTTCATACATTGTATTCTGAGATCTGCTAACAATTTTTGTTTTTCCTTATTGCTATTATAGTATATTTCTAGCAGACATAAGTGTTTCTGATTCTCGATATTTATATTATCTGATTAAAACTGTTTCTTGATCAAGGTGCAAATATTAGATTTCAAATTCAAAATTTTCTTCTGTTAACTTTTCGTCATTGTAGTGTTTTATACTGAGCCGTAAGATGCATGAACAAGGCACACACATCGAGTATACAATCTATTAGTACTCGGCCACTCAGAAGGTAAATAGAAATTTTCGGAAACTAATGTCTGATGACATGTTCAATATGTTAGAATAGATACGATCATGAGTTAAGACCTCTACATTACAGATAAACATAGACGACCAATTCAAACTTGATGAAGCAATCAATTGGAGGATTCATCGAGCATTCTCTGGTTAAGCCTAGAGACAAGTGTTCATTCGCACACATTTTTCCATACCTTATCTCTCGGAATCCTTTGATTGAGTCGATCCACTTAACTTCACATAGAGAATTTTGTACAATTTCTATAGCTCTTAAAAACATTTCATCACTTAAATTCATTGCTATCTTGGCTACCAGAGTACAGTCCATATCATCAATAGAATGTGAGATTCAAGACAATTTTGGTTGTTGGGTAGAGGTGGTTGGGGGGTTGGTCAGCTTCCACGCTAGAGGCCAACAACCCTTCGAAAAAACTGATGACCTTGAGATGAGACACACAAAAACCAGACAGAACCATATTGTTTTATAAAGCTAAACAAAGTAATATAATTTTGACATTAATTATGAACAAGAATTGTCTGATTATTCTGGCAAAAAAGTTTGAACAAATAAGTCTGGTAAATGTACACAAAATTTTCTGCTATTAAATGCCTTGGTTCTACTTTGATATTGTATGCAGTATTGAATTTAATCAAGAAAGGAGGGTTAATATATAATATGATTTTGACATTATAAACAAGAATTCTGGAAGAAAAGATAGAGGATAAGCCAAGCTAATCTGCAATAAACATTATCAGTTAGGATCAATTTTTTAAAGTTTAATCATTCATTGGCAATATTGGAAATGTCTCGAGTTAAGAGCAGTAGTTTGGACGAGCTCAGCTCGGTGGTGGTGGCCTCTTTCTTCTTCGCGGCAAGGGTCATATCGAGTCTACTGAAGATTTGTCTCAACTTTAGTAACTTAAGCTTTTAAACGGTTAATTCAACCTAGTATTATATGGGTTCAAATTTATCGGTTATGAATATCTTAGTTTAAATTTTTAGATGAGATGCTTTGAAAACACTTTTTTCTAAAAAAACAAATTTTTTAGTTCCAAAGAATAATTTGTAGACTACCTAAAAAGCAACATAATAAAATTAACAATAGTTGGCAATGTTGAAAAGTCATCTACTTTATACTTTTATCACCAAACTCACTCCACAAGACACTATAAAATGAGCCCACACTAATCAGCTACTATCACTTAACACTGCCCAAAAATGGCTCCTAAAACACAAACCACAGCCCTTTTCCTCTGCCTCCTCATCTGCATCTCCACCACCTCCTCCACCTATGGCCGCAAAACCCAGCCACGCCGCCCCTGCAAAGAGCTCGTTTTCTACTTCCATGACATCCTCTACTTAGGATACAATCCCCACAATGCCACTGCTGCCATAGTTGCCTCTCCTAAATGGGGAAACAAGACCGCCATGGCTAAACCATTCAATTTTGGTGACTTGGTTGTGTTTGATGATCCCATTACCTTAGACAACAATCTGCATTCGCCCCCAGTCGGACGAGCTCAGGGCATGTATTTGTACGATCAATGGAGTATATATGGTGCATGGCTTGGATTTTCATTTTTGTTCAATTCCACTGATCATGTTGGAACACTAAATTTTGCTGGAGCCGATCCATTGATCAACAAAACTCGGGACATTTCAGTAATTGGTGGAACTGGTGATTTCTTCATGGCTAGAGGGGTTGCCACTGTGTCGACCGATGCATTTGAAGGGGATGTTTATTTCAGGCTTCGTGTGGATATTAGGTTGTATGAATGTTGGTAAATTTAGCTTATTTTTCATGGCTTTTATAATCTGATTTTGCTCGGATTTGACGAATTCTGTATGCCTTGGTTTTGTATCAATCTGTGGTGATTTTATCAATTAAACTGTAATTGTTTCATGTTTAAGATTTTATTCCTCAACAATTTTAACATGCATGGTTATAGACCTTTTTGTTTTGGCTTCCTAAGAGTCTAGTTGTCTAAAGCCTTAAAACCACGAAAAAGTATCTTTAACACGTCCTCATATACATCTAGAATTAACTTTTGAATTAAAGACCTAATACGTATACAATTTTCATAGACAAGTTTGAAGTACCATTTATACAAATAAGAATCTCACGATCTCATCTTAGGATTATTTTATAGGTAATTATATTCACACCACAATTTTTATTTCTTGTATCACATTTTAATTGTACTTAAGGTTCTTAATCTTTGTTCATTATAGCACTTATGTCCCTAACAGTTTTTCATTTCATTCTTATCCTCAAACTTTTCATTAAATAACACATTTTGTACTTGCTAGCAATTTTATAACAAAAAAACTATTGAAATGGCGCAAAACAATTTGTTTTTTCATCGAATTTTAAAAAACAATAAATTAAAAGTACATTTTTTCCTCATTTCAAAGCATGAAAACAAAATATTTTGATATAAACTATAATCCAGAACGAGGAATACTAATTAATGGAAGGTTGAAGATGAGAATTCGATAAGATGAAGTTAAGGAAATAATTGCAATAATAAATAAAGATTAATTAGCTTAATTACAATTAAAATGTGGTGTAACAAATAAAAATTGTGATATCAATATATCCACCTTATTTTACGATTTTAAAACCAACAAAGTCAGAAGACATCAAGGGCCTAGATAATGAGAGTTAATCACACTTTATCCTCCACTAATGGTGTAATTAAAAAATAAATAAAACCACCACTAATGGTCAAAATTCCCTTTTATAATGGACGCAAAGCAGCTAATTTGATTATTCTCGGCAAGGGAGTATTGGCCATATTCCACCTACCACCATTACCTAGTAATTTTTATAAAAGTCAAAGTCTTACAAATTAATATAATGGACAGCTAATTTGATCTTTATAGTCGTTTAATCAAATGAACATAATTAATATATTGAAAGTTATATTTCAGAAAAGGATCAAATGAGTGAACTTTTATAGCGACCTTACTACCAAATTCATATTTTACAAAACAAGTTGGCGCATTTAGAATTAAAATAAGAATACTTTTGCAATAGTGCCAATATAACAATTTAATATGAATATGGCATATTGTTAAGTATAAACAAAATTCCAAAACAATGATCAACACCAACCCCACCCAATAGAAGATAAAATTTAAACATGTCAAGTGTGATGATCTTAAAATGAAATTCAATTTGAATTGGCGCATTTAGAATTCAAGTAATCGATCAAGACTTCCGTCCCTTATTTATGAAAATTATGAACATGTCAAACTTTAATGGTATTGGTACATTGAAAACAGTGAACACGTTCTCACCGAGAACTTCGGGGCCTAGAGTTCAATTCTCAAAAGCAAAGCATATAAAGAGAGACTCCAAATCTTGCAAGGTCCAAAAGGAAAGGTGCATTTAGAGTGGAAGACTATAATTGTATAGCATGTTTCGTAAAATTGAATCAATAAAACTATCTTGTAATACAAAAGAAAAATAAATTAAAATATTATTTATTGTACTATCAAGTTCTGTCCATTACGAGTTACGACATACTAAACATGCAATTAGCATTTCATTTGGCCTTTTCTTCTTTCAGATCTAGCAACATTTACTAATTCTCATTTTCTAATTAGCCATATTCATCTGAATTTGCATCTATCATTGGATTGAGCTGATTCATAATTTAACAAAGCTACTATATCAATTTTCAATTATCATAGTATACTTTTTCTCCGGATGGGCCGACAGCCGCCGGCTAACATGACTAATTGAACATAACTTAGCACATGTTAGGAAAATAAGTGGCTTTCTTATAAGCTTTGGATATCCACAAAATATGTGGATCAAAAGACACTCAACTGTTGGTCCCACAGCTTATAGACTTGGCTGTTTTCATTTTCTAGAGGCTCCAAAAGGGATGAAGGAACAAAGATTTGAGTTTCATGTAGTCTTTCAGCCATCTAGTGAACTCGAACCTTTCTGTCCCTATACGATCTCACGGATCGGGTGCTTCTGCCTCTTCCTATTTATCCCTACTCAACAAATCACGAAATTGAAGAGAAAAGAACATAGGTCGTTTTCACTACATCCCTAAGCATTATTATGTAAAAGCATTAAATTGCGATATATTGACTTCCATAGTGATCATTGATAGTAATATTGTCAGCGATTACTGACATAATCACAATCAGTGATCATTTACTTCATTAACATTTTTTTTTTACTTTTGAAAAGACTCCCTCGTCAATTTTACTAAGGTATCTAAGTCACGTTTATCTTTGATTACATTCTCTAGTTTACAATACTTAAAAATGTCTATATAACAAAGTGTCTTTTACTTGAATTTGCAAAAGTTTTTCTAGCTAGTGGACATCTTAAAACGACAAACAGAACAATAGTGCTTGTATACTTACAATTTGACTGAAATTTTATTCAGTATCACTCCTAGTAACTATTCCTAATCATCCCGCCTAGAGTTCTCTTCCAACTGGCGCATGTATCACACCACGCGATGCTCATTAGCGCATTATAAATCATAAGCACTCGATATAGTACTCCTTAGTTATATGCAATCTTCATTATCACACACCGATATGGTATAATGCTTCGTATCATTATAATTGAACATAGAATTTACTTTGAAATTAGTGTCATCACACACGAAACTATGTCAAGCCATAGAATCACACTCCATTTTATGTCTTCATTATTGATAAGTGTGTTTTTGTACACTTATTTAATACCTAAATTAGCTTAAATATTGACTAAAAGAGCGAGTTTCTATTCACAATCATGCAATTAGGCCTATTTGATTACAACGAATTCTATGGAATATGTCACATCCGAAAAAAAAACGAATTTCACTTTGGCAGTTTGATTGCAACGTGAAAATGAAAACCGAATTTTAAGGTACAACCACTTTAAACTGCATTTTCTTCATTTTCATGGAAAACGAATTCCTATGAGTTTGGTAGGTTTTTATTTTTCAACTAACATGAAATTGAAATTTCTTTCTACCTTGATTATCAAATAGACCCTTATTGCTTTTGTGGGTAAAAATCATTCAAGGAAATAGAATAAGCCAAAAGGAAGTGAAAACGAACTAAAACGTACAAAATTGTGAAGTTGAGGATCAAAGTGCATAAATCAAAAAGTTGAAGGACCTTGGACTGCAATTTACGAAGTACTTGATTGAAATGAAAGTCAAAATCTAAGGATCAAATTATACAAGAGCATAGTTGAGGGACCTGATTTACACATTGCTAAAGGACTTGTGTGCAAAAAAAAAAAAAAGAAAAAGTAAAAAAAAAAAAAAGGAATTAAACATTTGGGCAGAAAAGTGGCCTAGGCGTCACTTTAAAAATCGGAGGATCGTTTTGCCGTTTTTCCAGAATTATAGGGATTGTTTTGCAATTTTTGGATTGAATTTGTTAGGTTTCAAGGCAAAAATCGGTAGCTTCCTAGGGGATTCAATTCCAGTTTTTTTTTTTTTTCTTTTCTTTTCTTCATCTTTCTTTTTATTGTCCTGTTATTCTTCTTGGTGATATTTTCTTGTAATTTTTGGGGAAAAGCCAGGAGCACGAAAAGAATCCAACAAAGGAGTTGGAAAAACTTTGGGACAATCAAGAGCTAGTCATTATCATATTCATAAATCCAACCAAAAAGCGTTTTTCTATAATCTTTTATTTTCTCCATTGTTTTGCCAAACTTGTAATGTATTATTACAAATATTCTATTTTTTATCATTTATATAACATGGGCTAAATATTTTTGTTGTGATTTATTTTTAAAGTTTAACATAGCTTTAATTAATTTCAACGCTTGCTATTTATAGGGCGTTTGGGCTCCATTTTTTGCTCATTATTAGAAGAAATATAATAGTTGCAAAATGAAAGTTGTGTGATAAAAGAAAAAAAGGGGGCAAAGTGGGGCCCATAAATGTTAACATTTCTTCTAAAAATGAGGTGAAAATGGCAAACAAATAGATTCTTGATATTAAAATTACTTACATTCATTTGTTTTTACTATTGTTATTATTGGATTTTTATTTATACGGTCAATAGATGATTGTGTTTAATGATTTGTAGCTCATTTGAGAGAAAATTGTGTGTTTTAGACCAAATAGTAGAAACCTTATGTTTTTTTAGGTGAGAGAGAACCCATTGAGCTATTTTCACAAATATTTAATTTTAATCGACATAGAGATATAGTAGGTTAAATCAATTAATTAGGATTGATTTCGCTTGAGAGATGTAATTAATTAAAATTGAAAAATCGAGTCTAACATTGTAAATGAATAATTTGTTATTTAACTTGTGGGGAAATTAATGAGGTAGCGGTTAAGAGAAATTATAAATTCCAACTACGTTTTTCCTCCGAACTTCTCAAATGTTATGTTTACCTATTTTGTAGATTTTTAGGTAATTTTTCTTATTTTTCAAAATCAAATCTTATTGTGTGCTTGTTTTTATCGTTAAAATTAAATTGATTAAAGTTATGTAATCAAAAGTAAACATTTTTCGAGAGATCGATAACTTGAACCCAAAAAGTCTATTTTATTACTTGAATGTGATCCGTGCACTTGCAGTTTGCTCCTTAATAGTGAACACGTTTTTGGCGCTATTACCAATGAATGTTTATACTTTGATTACCATTTTAGTTAATTTTTGTTTTGACAATTTTTTTTATATTTACTTTTTTGTTTTTATTTTTATATGCTATGGCAAACCCTCAACAGTTTTAATTTATCTTATGTGTTGTATTCTTTTCATGTGCTTTTCAGTTTTCTATGCATGATTTCAATAGT